ATTTTAGCATATACTCGTACACGTTGTAAGTTTGCAAATCATCCATATAAATGATATCAGTTTGTTCATCCCAATCGTCTTTTTGGCCAGTGTACGATACGAAGTAGTTGTAGTTCTGATGCAATCTGGTCGATAAGAGATGAACTAAGGTTTGCGTGGTACAGTGGCAAAAACAAGCAGCAATCTCTGCTCTAGATATGATATTATCCAGCTAGATTGTATACCGCATACCGCGTGCCATGCGAACTGATGCATTTGCACACACACACACACACACACACACACACACACAGAAGTCTTCGTGCTTGGCTTATCCACAACACTTTTAATAGTTCAACAAAACTGTGCTAAGCTTCAAGTACACAAATAAAACAATATTTTTGCTGTCAACAGCAAGTCCGTAAATTTTTGGTAATGCAATGATAATAATGATTAGCAGCTTCGCAGGAAAACTTTAGTTTAAAGAGGCATTTTTGATCTATAAAAGATATTGACCTTCAAAAGTAATTGTAATAAAAAATAAAAATAAAAATTAATATTCAATGATAAAATCAGACAATTACACTTGAATTGAAATGATAAAATGAACTTAATTACTGATCAACACCAATGCAAATATATTATATATATATATATAATCATTGTATATAATCGTTATATGCATTCATTTGAACTAAGATATTCTAATCGGAATTCATATTGGGTCATGCACCTTTTAGTCATGAGGTTTGACATCGAAAATGTTTAAAACATATGCATATAAATATTTTATTACAGGCTGCCGAACCTTGAATAACCTAGCAGATATATTGTATACTCAATTACAATTCTTCGATTATTATCTGTATATTATAAAAACACGCAACAGTTCGTTGTCGCATATATATTCAATTTCCTTAATCGTATTTTATCAATTTATTTTGCAACTGAAGTTTTTTTTAAGTCAACTGATGAAAATTTTTTTACTTTTTTTTTTTGGTGCTATGTAACGATGTAAATATACATACATATATATATATATATATATTGTAGATACATACAATATACTTTGAGTCCGAGTTGTGTTATTAAATTTCTTAATTTAACGAATGAATTTTTATGATTTTACTGCTTAACTTCACTTGAACTGGATTTTTTTGCTTGGTTCTTTCAAATCACGCAGAAAAGACTTGAGCGTTTAATAGTCCAATTTCTTATCGTTTAACCAAACGAAAAAGTTCCAAAATGATTTCAACATTTGTTGTCGAATTTCTTGAAATTCCATCGATCTACTGACGTTCTTAAGGGAAGTCCCGCTCATAGCTATTGACACATAAATAGCTTATATTAAATAGATTACATTTTTAATGTTTTTTTTTTGTTGTTTCTATATAAACCTATTCAGTTGTTGCTTCAAATCTAAGTAAAAATAAAAATTATAGAATCGGCTGAGATGATGATAATGCCAATAGAAATTTTTTTATTACTAACATTTATTACAAACAATTACAGCCAAGATTGTATAGGTAGACTTATTAGATAGGTCCAATAACCTATTCAATTTAAGGTTTTTATTCATCATTCTACCGTTACTTGCTGCTTACAGTGCAACGGACTTGACCAAGATCAAAGATTTCTACTTAATTTCTATGGCCTGACCCACCCCCGATAATCTTCACTTGTGTTTTGTGGGGGTTTCTTTTGTTTTTGTTATTGTTTTTGTTATAGGTAAAACGTGATCGGAACCAAAGCTGGAGATCGGCTTGTTGCTAATTTGCGAAATGAACTTGAGTTTTGCTATTGTCAAGCAGCCGCAATTGCGGCTTTACATTTGCGGTGTCACGTCCGCAGCCTTATCGGACCCCGACCAGAGCACAGCAGAGCAGAGCAGAGCAGAGCAGAGCAGAGCAGTGGAAGCCCAGTAGCGTAGTCTCTACAATCTGCACATGGGTAAGTCTGCTCACGAGCCGTGCATCAATTAGATAACTGGTTTAGCTTGGTTAGAGCCGTGTGCAGATAACTTGGCTTAATTTATAGGCATTGATAAGACATTTGAACTTTATGGACCAGCACTGCGACGGGAAGTGCTTAGAAGCAGCAACAGCAGCACCACAACCACCACTGTCATCGTTGCCTCGTTGCCGTTATCAATCCGTATTAGGCTTATCTATTTGGCTAGGTAAACAACGCAATTAGACAATAACAGACAACGGTGATTCCAACAATGCTTCCCGCACGAACTCGACTCGACGCAGCGCGATTTGAATGCTGGCCAAAAGCCTTAATAACCCATCCAAAAAAAAGAAGTAACTTTATTAGATTATGGTGAAAACAAATTGTGTTTTTGGCGACATGGAAAATGTTCTTCAAAATGATGAAAATAATATCGACAAAACAGACACTGAACATCGTTGCAAATGACCAGAAAATATTTAAATTAATCTTCGCAGAGGCTAAATAGAATAATATTTAAAATTAAGCTAATATCAAAATAAGTCTCGAATTCGATCTGCTTGTTTTGAAGTTTGAGTCCCAAAATAGAACTTTGCTCGCTCAATTTTATCATATCAACTCAAATGCTTTTCCTGATTTGATGTCTGATAAATGATATATACTACCGCATACCTAGAAGGTACTCGCAGGTGTTGTCTGGCGCAAATGTTTCTCTTTCAATGGCAACAATTACTTTCACTGCACACAAATACAATATATACATATTTCTATTTGTATCCAACACTTTTTTAAGACTCATTTGTTGTTATTCTCTTTCAATTGTTACCAACGCCAAATACACAATCTGTTCCGGCGGGCTCAGAACTACTTCGAGTGCTCCTTCACTGAAAGAGAGAGAGAGAGTGAGAGAGAAAGAGTTGCTTAAACATCGGATTGTTGTTAGTAGTTGGCGTTACAATTCAATTTGTTTAAATTGTGCCTTTATTTATTTAGTGTTTCGTCAAACAATTTACAATAAACGCAAACGCTTGCATTGAATTCGCCGAATGTACGAGTACCCAAATCGAGGGGCTCCAGTATCTAGAATTTAGTGACTAGAAACTAGATGCTGCATACTGGGAGATTCTTGCATCTTAGTGTGGCTCAAAAACATACATACTTATATACATAAGTTAAGTACAATACATTTAGCGATGCTGAGATTGATTTAGTAATTAGTTGCTGTTAGTTGCTTGTGTATTCGCTTTGGCTTGGCATTGACTCGATTGCTCGACATTTATAACTACTTTGCGCATACATAGAGGTAAATAAATGTATTAAATAAATCAATAATAATACAATTAATTAGCAGCCAATACAAAAACCCGATTGAAATTGCTTGAGTGAAGTTTATTGTATGACTAGTTGCTAAACGTTTTCGCGAATATGGTTTTGGTTGCATTAAGTTTTATAGTTTTCAGCGTTTCGGTTTACCTTTTATTTTGTATTTTTGTATTTTTGTATTTTTATTTGTATTTGTATTTTACTGAACGGTGGGCAATAAAGGAAACGAGAACACATATGTAAACAGGATACCAACATTACATTTGAGAACGCAAATAATGTTCGAATAACTAACAATGATAATAATACTTAGTATGTATATTATATATACATATATACTATGTATGAATGTATTCTATGTGGTATAATAAAAAGCCAATTTAACAATTGTACAGTTTACTATAGTTGTAGTCACTTCTGGTGTTCTTTTGCATGACTTTTGTTGGCACCTCTCTTCATTCATTCATTCATTCATTCATTTCTTGGTTGGTTTGGTTTGTGTGACATTTGTGATATTGATATAAATTTGACAACTAGCGCACATTGAGATTGTATTTGAATACAATGTTATAATTAATAATAATTTATTTGCAGCTGCTGATGCTGCCTGCTGCCTGCTTGCTGCTTGCTGCCTGCTGCTTGCTGCTTTTGTATACGTTTAAAATTAGACACCATTTACAAACATACAATACAATTACAATTACAATTACATACACAAAGAGATTTTCTGGGTTTCTTTCTACCGATTATTAAATTAGTGACCGCCGCCCAAAAGTAGGCAATAATATTTCCAATATTAGCTCGCTCGCATGCATCTAAATGTAAATGTATGTTGTGCGTAAATATATTACTTCATTCGCTTAGAGGACTACACTTATCTTAATTGCTAGACCGACTTGATCGGTGTATGCAGCTCTTTACTTGAGATCCCTTGAGCGCTAATGCCACAATACATATGTATATATGTAAATGTCAATGTATATAATATACTAAGTATTACATTATATTTTTTTTTATCGTGTATGTATGCATTCTATATATTTGTGTATGCGTGTGTGTGTGTGTGTGTGTCTCTCTCTGTGTGAGTGTGTGTGTGTGGGTATATATTTCATTTGAATTTCCTTGCTCTCGTTAAGCGTATGCAGTTGTAGTTGATGTGCTCAGATTTTGGCTCAATTCACATAGATAATATTAAGTACTATAGCAAAGTTTGTAAGCGGTATTTCCCTAAGATTGCTATTGAGAAAGATTTAATTTGATTGGTTGGCCTGCCACTGTGCATGTGCATATCTATGTATATATGTGTGTAGCTCAGCTACGAGTCAGGTATACATGGGTATGCAGTCCTTACTTAGCTCACCTCTTCACCTCTCTCCCTCTTTCTCCATCTCTCTGTCTCTTTTTGCTTTTATATTCTTTTCATCATCCTTACCCCCAATTGTAACTCTTTGGTTTGGAAATCTAATCTTTTTTCTGTAATTGGTTGTCTTTCTTTCGCCTTTATTCTAGTCCTGTTGGAGTCGTCTCATTGCACACAAACATATACATATATATAGAGTAACGCACACACACATATATACATATACACACATACAAACAAATATACAACACACGAAAGGCGCTGAGGCGCACAAAAAACAAACAATATATAAAGAAATATGGCAAAAACTATCTTTTAGTTTTTTGTTTGTTTTTTTTTTTGGAATAACGTTTACAAATTGTTTAAGATTAATGTTTTTGTTGCCCTTAGCGGATATGTGAAAATGTGTGTGTCTCTGTGTGTGTGTGTGTGTATTAAAAGGAACGAATTGTAAGAGGAGCTGTATGTATGTTAGCAAGTAAGTGAGGCTTTAGACAGAGCGAGTATAAGTAGCAAGTAAAAAGTAGCGAATAGTAAGTAACGAGTAGCGTGTTCGTTCTATGAATTGAATTGAATTTTATTGCTTCGATTGTTGTCGTTTAGTTTTGAGATTTCTCATACGCTGCTCGTAGTGTGAATAGTTTTTTTGTAACACATGCGAATACAAGTAAATTATGCTAAGTACTCGTTTATGTACTATGTTGTCATTAGTAGTTAGTTATTTTTCTTTTTTGGTGTTTGGATTCCATTTAGTGGCACTATTTTTATGCTATTACCTAAGAGATTATTTTGTATATGCACTTAAGTAAGTTGCTTTTTGGTGTTTGCGGTTACAGCTCGATAATAACATGGTTTGGCTCTTGTATTTCTTGAATAACGATTTATCTCGGCTACATTATTATTATTATTATTTGATTTTTCTTCTTTTTTTTTTGTATATATTTTACTCTTACTTTCTCTGCTGCTGCTGCTTCTGCTGCTGCTTTCCTATTTCGAGAATCACTTGGCAGTTTTATCATTGGTGTTTTTTTCGTTTGCATTGAGTTTGTTTTTAAATACGAGAATTTCGGAACGCAGGACACGATACAAGGAAACAGGAATGGACGTCGACAGTGGGGTGGCGGGAGAGGGGGAGGGGGGTTGGTGACTAACTACGTACAAATAGTTTGCGGGGTCACATTGGGTTAACGGTTAACAGAACAAGGTTAAGAACACACGCGACCTAGTGGCAAGAGGCAAGGTATTAATTAATAACTATTAATAGGTAACAACGTTAAATATACATCAAAATACGCGTCCAAATACGACCACTACAGTTAGTACTAACACACACAATTTCATCCAACGCATTGTCTATCACCGGGACCGGGACGAGGTCCAGGACCAGGACTAGGACCAGGCCCAGGACCAGGACAAGGACCGGAACCCGGCCCAGTACACAAAATCAGCTCATCTCGATTGTGAACTGCGTCCGAATGCCGGAACAGGCAGTTCGGGTTTCTCAACGTTTCTCAACGCTTCACCCCAAAGAGATTGGGTATGGACTTGATCTTCTTGCGCGAGCAGTTCACATAGTCCTTGTACATGTCGGAGCGTAGATAGCGCGAGTAAGAATCGCTCTTCATCAGATGATACACGTGCGAGGCAGCCACATCGAAGCACCAGCGATTTGGACCATTTGGCGAGTTAACAGCCTCGCGTGCCAGCTCCACAGATTTTGAGTCCACGTTCACTGGACAGGGTGCATCGGGTGCGAGAAACTCTTGCCAAATTCGGTGTATAGCCTCCTTGATTTCGGACTGTGGCAGCGCCTTCATCTCCTGCACCGATTCCCAGAATCTGATATAATCGAAAGTAGCAGTGATCAAATTGTAAGTTGCGCGACTATTCTCTATTCACTATTCTCACTCACTTGAGATTCTCGCCGCTGTACTCCTTCTCCAAGAACTTGGTGAACTGGTCGCGCCCAATGGCATCGTTGAGCAGCTCGCGCAGACTGAACGCCCATCGCTTGACCCGACGCACAGGAACTTCTTTGCTGTAGTGGACGAAATCAGATGCAGATCGTAATCCAATTGAACGGAGCCATTGACTTTTGCTTACGGCTTACCTATTTTTCTCGGTATCCCACATTTCGGTGCTATCCGTTTGCCAGGGATTGGGTAGCTCCGGCAACGTTATAAAGTAATCGAACTCATTATACTGATCGTAGTAGGCAACCAAACTAAAGTACAATAAAATGAAGCAAAACAATTGTCAGATGTCAGTTTTATATATATATGTATGTGTCAGATATATATATATGGATAGATTCGACTCACGCCTCAGCTGCCTTGGACACTTTGATTGTGCGCCGCTCGAGCTTCTGCTTACGCAGTGCAATTATACGCGTCAGCTGCTCGACGGGATTCTTGGCCACAGAGGCACCAGATGAGCCGGTGCCGTGACTGGAGCCGCCGCGTCGATAGGCCTTCTTAATATCAATCTCGGTGGTATTGACACAGCCCGGCATCGGCCGGTGCACGTCCCAAAAGGCGCGCTCCTGCGAGTCCAGCACCTTGCGCTCCAATTTGTCCCGCTTCTTGGCCACCTTACTCTGCGATTCGGCCTGCCAATTGGAATCAAAGTGATTGGTTAGATTAATGTCAATGATTTAGTTATTGTTGATGATATCGCACCTGCATGAAGATGAACTCCCATTTGCGCGAGAACATCTTCTGCAGCTTGGCCAGATTCTCGGCCTCGTAGTCGGCCAGCTCCAAGCGTGTCTTATTCTGCATGGTTCGCTTGCACAGATAAACCGCATAGTCTGTGTTCTCCGGCTCCCAGCAGTTCGATGGCCAGAAATATGGTGTCTGAAATCTAACGGAAAAGCAGTTAAAATTAGAGAATTAGACAACAATTCGAGTGGCGAGCTTGCAGCTGGCTTGGTTACCTGTAGAAGGTGCCATCGTTCTTTACGGTCAGCGCATGATCATCAATGGGAAAGATGTAGCCGTGCGAGCTAAGCAAATGCGCAAAGTGAAGCGCCTCTGTCACATCCTCCACATCGAAGTTCTTCAGTATCCAGGCAACCAAATCAGCCCCCGTAAATACCGATGGCACCTTGCTCATAAACGCCTTCACCGTGCGCACAGCCACTCCGCTCGACTCCGCCTGCATCTTCTCAATGATGGCCTCCATCTGCAATTCAGATATACAAATAAACAACGAAAATATATATATACATTTACTTGATATATTCTGTCATCAATGGATTACAAAAACTAATGCAATTGTTGTCAAATCTTTTTGATTTTTTATAAACCATTATTTGACATTGGAAATGACAAATTTAGGAAATTCTTCTCATTTTATGTTGAGCAATTTGACTATTAGTCGATTTCTAAGTGAATGCTAGATTCGATGATATGATAAGATATATAATAATATATGTAATGAATGTTTGTCAGATTGCAAAGCTAACATTTAAAATGCTTAGACAGCTTTCTAAAGGACAAAGGGCAATCTAAAATTAAACCTCTTCAAAAGCGAGTTAGTTTTAAAAATGTTGGATATATATATATATCTATCTAGATATAATTATATATGCCACTCACCTTTTTATAGACAAGTATATTGGGCGCATCTTCATTCTTGCTGCCCCGCTGCGAGTGATGCGATTGCTGCATCGCTGACGCCGCTGCCGTTGGCTGCTGCTGCGGCGACTGCGACGACGACGGCGACTGCGACTGCGATTGGGACTGTGACTGCGAGGTTGAATGATGATGATGGTGATGATGATTGCTGCCCACGCTAAGCAGGCCACTTGACTTGGACGCCGTTGATGACCCACTGCCGCTGGGTGCTGTGGCATCCCGAATGCTGACCGTCTTGCTGCTCGCAGGTGGCGTTGCAGCCACAACTGTTGTTGTTGCTGTTGTTGTTGTTGTTTTGCTATTGTTGTCGACAGCAATCGCATTGTTGCCGCCACCGTAGCCAGTTATAGTGGCATTGGTAGTGATAATGGTGGCGCTGCTGGTGATTATGATTGAGGTGGCGGTGGTTGCGGTGGTGACGCTGCTGATGGTGCTGCTAATAATCTCGCAACTACTGCTTGCATTAGTATTAACATCCACTTGACCAGGCTCTGACTCAGCAGGCACAGCAGCAGCAGGGATAGCAGCAGACGCAGCAGCAGCAGCAGCAGCAGTTGCTGTTGCAATCGCAGCTTCATCTGTATTGGCTTTGACTGCTGCTGCTGCTACTGCTGCTGTTGGCATTGACATTGGCATTGGCATTGATGTTGTCGCTGGACTGATGTTATCCGTTGCTGCTGCTGCTGCCGTTGTTGTTATTGTGGTTGCTGTTGCTGCTGCGTCTGCTTGTGTTGATTCTGCTTGCGGTACAGATGTTGGTGACGCCACTGGCGTCTTGGGTGCGCTGCTCATGGCCAGCGCATTTGTTGCTGCTTGCGTGCTGCTCTGTGTTTTGTCCGCCTCTGAATTCATTGTTACCATCGTACACACCCGCTGCCTCTGCCTCTGACTCTGACTCGGACTCGGACTCTGGCACTCTGACACTCTACTGACTCCGACTTTGGTCTTCTGGTCTCTGCGCTTCTGCTGCGGCGAGCTATTTATAAACGCGCCACGCGACGCTTCCACTCTTCAAATGCTGTTTTGTCCAAAATGTGTGTGTATGTATGTGTGTGTGTGTGTGTGTGTGTGTGTGTGTATCCTTTTGCGTGCGTTATCGACTTTGCGTTCGCCGTCCGAGTTTGTTAGCTTGCGTAGTCAGTGCGTGTGTGTGTGTGTGTGTGTGTGTGTCTGTGTTGCGTGTTTGTTTGTATGTATGTGTGTCTGTATGCCTGTATGTATGTATGGCGTTCTGTGTGCTGTGGCGACAGGCCAACAGGCAAAAATGTTGCAACTCCCCTCGTCGAATGTGTGACTTCAATGTAACGCCGCCATTTCATTTATTTATCCACTTATCCAGCTCCATTTCCCTGCATCGCTCGCCGCACTTTTGTCGCCACTTTGCAACGTTTTGCGTTTTGCGTTCTGCTTTGTGCGCTTTTCGCTGTTTCACGCTGCTATCACAGTTTTCGACTGCAGGAAAAAAGCGCAGCTAAAAGTGCTCAGCACACTCGCACACACACACACACACTCACACGCACATACACACACACACACACACGCGCGCACACACACAGACAAGAGACGTACGCACGCACTTTTCAATACTTTCTGGTCAAGGCACAATTTTGTTGGCCTTCCAATTTTCTTTTCGATTGATTAAATATATATTTATGATTTTGCGAGACCCGAATTTGTTGGTAATTCAAGTTTAGGTCCTTTTGCTTAGCTGCTGCTCCTGCTGCTGCTATTGCTACTGGCTGTAGTTGTGCTGCTGCTGCTGCTCTTGCTGCTTCTTCTTTTGCCTTTAGCTTCTGCTTCTGCTTCTTCTTGTTTTTGGCGTTAGCCTGTAATCATTTTACGTTTGCTAGGAGCGACGACGACGACGACGACGACGACGACGACGACGACGACGATGACGACGAGGTGTGCGGCGGCGAGTGGGCAGTGCTGAAGCCAAAGTCAATTCAAGTGCCTCTGCCTATACATGTATATGTATGCGTGTATGTGCATGTATGTATGTATGTCGTGTACGTCGTTCACGTTCACGTCCACGTTCACGTTCTCGTCGCGGCTTCGTGCCTTATGAAAAGGCGCTTCCTGTAGTCGATTTGCTGTTGCAATCGATTTTTGTTTGCCCAACCTCCCACCCCATAGCGCACACACACGCACATACGCACACCCACACACACACACACACTCATATAAGCGACACCCACATAAGCTCGCCCACACAGAATGACGAGAGCGCTCGTTCGTTCGCTCTCTCGCTCTCTCTCTCTCTCCCGCGCTCTCACTAAATTTATGTATGCTCTCTTTGCTTATTGCTCAACAGCTGTTGTAAAATGACTCAGTGTTGCCAATCTGTTGAAAACTATGCATTTATTGGTCACACTAACAAGTGAAACATTTGAATTGCATTTCGAATTTGAATTTGTAATTGCTTTATTTAAAAGAATACGATTTTCGGCTAAACTTAGTTGGTAAGCAATACAATTATAACTAAAAAAAAAAATATAAAAATATATATATATATATATATGTAGATGTATATATATAAGTATTCATTTGTATATGTATTAAGGCATATAATGCATATGTTGTTTATTAGTTGTGTTGATTGGATTTCACTTGAAGCTCGATTTTTTGCTTCAGTGCTTTTAATTAATTTATAGTGAACTTATTGTTATGGCTTTTATACAAATTTGCGTTAAATTTTGCTGACAATTATATAATTTTATAAGCAAACAACAATCGGAAATATTACTGTCAAATAAATAAAAAATGGAATAAGTATATATAATGGTTATAACTCGTATGTATAAACAGGATAGTTGAAAACAGTATTCAAACAGTATTGTTTTTGTTTTGTTTTGTTTGTTTTTCCTCTTAATATATGCTAAGGAAAACAATAGAACTCACTGGTTCTGTGGCCCATTTAAGACTAAGTGTTTTGTTGCTGTGTAGCACTCAAATAATGCAATACTCGATTATTTGGCTTACACACACTATTATCATATATCATATGCTTATAATTTTCTTAACGGTATTTACACAAGTTTATCAATGTCAATGTCCAATTGCATTTCTGGACATGCATAGATGTAGAGTATGATTTAGTATATGTGCAATATAAATATATGTATTGTAGCTTGTCGAGGCCTTTTCCGGCCACATCAAATTATTTAGTAGTATGTTATGTAATGTGTAATATTCGATTGGCCTCCAAATCAAAAGGCAGATGTGACCAGTCAAATTGACCAGCTATATTCATAATATATATTCATTGTTGAGTAGAGGTTGCGCTTCATATCCCGGCACAGACATAGACAGAGAGAGAGAAAGAGAATTGGCATACCTCCAATCTGTAGACTCTGCTTTGTGTGTTCATCATTGACTCTTCCCGCGGCGCTCGAGCCAAGTCGTCCAAGTGCCTGGATTTGCCCTTGTTATAGATCCCATATAGAAATATAAATTGGCTTCTATTCTTCATCTTCTTCGTCTATTGTTAGGCCTGTTCCTGCAGCTGTGCACGGGACTGTCGGACGGGTCGGTCGGACCATAGCGATGCCTGTCCGCCATTCTGCGCCTGGTAGGATAATGGCGGCGGTCCCAGTTGCGCTTGGGGCACCAGTTCCGCCTGCGGATTGAACTGATTGTTGCTATTGTAGTTGACCAATATGTCGCTGGCCAGGCTGTGGCCAATATTAACGCCCCGATCCGGATAATAATTCTGTTGTTGTTGCTGCTGCTGCTGCTGTTGCTGCAGCTGATGCTGCTGCTGCTGCTTGTTGCTTGGCTGGCGCCAGTGTTTGTGCTGTGGCACAGGCAACAGGCGGTATAGGGGCTCCGGGGCGGCAGGCCCACTTGGGTAACTGGGCACAAAGCTGTAAGGCGGAAAGGGTGGATGCTTGCCACTGTTGTGACGCAAACGTTTAAATTGTGGCGCTGGCGGCGGCGGTGCTTGTGGCAGTTGTGGACGTTGCCAGTTGAATTGCGGGGGACGCAGCTGATATGCAGCAGGACGCGACTGCAGCTGATTATCCAAATAGGAAGACGATGACGGCGGCGGCGGCGGCAACGGTGGATGCGGGGTGCTGTACACAATCTGCTGGCCAGGATCGTATGGCGATGGCGACTGGTGCAGCTGCTGCAGCTGCTGTTTGCCCATCCTCAGCTGGCGCTGACGTTGCAGCAGCAGTGTGTCGGGCAAATATGAGTCTGGCTCCTGCTGCTGTAGCCCCTGTTCCTGCTGTTCCCGTTCCCGTTCTCGTTCCCGCTGCAGCTGGAGCTGCTGATGCTTGCCCACGCGCAGCTGGCGCTGACGTTGCGGCTGCGGCTGATAAACGATTGCCTTGAACGCGTTCTGATCCTGCTCGTCGGCACTGTAGTTGACCATGGGCAGGAACGGCTGCCGATCAAAATCGGGCGGATGGAAACGTCCGTTGGCAGCCGCCGGCGGCGAGATGAGGTTACTGCGTATCAGCTGGCCCAGTGCTGCATCGTATTCGGAGTGCAGCTGGATGGGCGTACGTGGCTTGGGCGTAATGCTCACGACGGACACATCATTGACGGGACTGGGTGGGGACTTGTAGTGGTGTCGCTTCGGTGGCTTTGTGGCCAGGAAGTCATTGATTGCATTCGACGACTTGATGCCAGTGGGTTGTCGCTTCGCCTCGAAGTACTCGTAGTAAATCGGATTCGACTTGGACAGCGGTGACTGATCACGATCCCGGTCCCGATCCCGATTTCGTTCCGGATTGCGATCCCTGGTGCGTTCCGTGCTGCTCGTGCTGGGCACAAATACAAGCTGCGCGGTGGGTTTTTGCCGTAGCTGTGGCTGTGCCGTTGTCGGCTGATAATTGACAGGATAAATAGGTATTGGCACTGCCACTGGGACCGGCACGCGCTCCACATACTTATTGGCCGGTCGAGTTGGAGTGGGCGCCTGCGGCAGATAACCAATGGCATTGTACTTGAGTGAGAGACGCGACGGTGGTCGGGTGGTGCTGGTGGTGCCGCTACTTGTACTGGTAGACGTAGGAGTAGTGCTGCTACTGATATAAGGACGTCGCGTTGACGTTGTCGTCGTTGTCGTTGTCGTCGTTGAGGAGGAGCTAGTTGTCGCCATCGTTTCCAGCCGGCTAAAGTGATCGGGTGGCGGTGGCAGCACAATGCCTGGCACTAGCGGACCCGGCGGCACCGGATTCGAGTAGTTGCTGTGATAGACAAAGCTGTACGCGGGCGGATAGTACAACGATGGATCATCCTCGTCAAAGTCACTAATATTGCCATGGAGGGCAACTGGTGCCGAGCCGGAAATGTTGCCCGATGCGTGCAGTCCACCGATTAGCCAGGGCCCCAGCAGCGGACTCCGGGGCAGCGACGGGAGGTGGGATGGGGGATGGCCCAACGTCTCGTTGGGATAGAGCCAGGGCGCGTAGGGCGACGGGTAGACGTAGCTGGGCTTCGGGTCAGCTGCCTTAGACGACGCAATCGCTCCCGGCCGGGCAGCAGAATGCGTCCCCGTGCCGTGGGCAGCTCCGTGACTTTGGCCGTGGGCCGCGTGCTGACCCACAACGGATGGCGTTGCATTGCCAGCTGTCGGATGGAGGCTCTCGATTTGATTATCTCGGATAAGCTGCAGTGGCCCATGCGGCTCGAGCTGCACGGGAAATGGAGGCGGTACGACTGGATTCGCTGGCAGCTTGATCTGTCGCAACGGCGCATCGTAATCATCAATTGGCGGCCAGGCATCATCATTGCCAATGCCATCGCCACCGGCCGCCTCATTCAGGCTGCCACCCTTGATGACCAGCAGATGATCCTCGGCCAGCCAAATATCCTGCTCGCTAAGGCCACCAAAGTTGCGTTCGTTATCCAGCGGCACCTCGGGATTGCGTGCATAGCTCAGCACGCCCGGACGCTTGGGTACGCGTCGGAAGAGCTCCTTCTCGATCAGGCCGTACTTGCCATCCCGCACCTGATCCGCGAGCGTCTTCTTTGCATCCTCCTTGCTCTGCTTACCACCGCTGCTGCTGCTACCCTTGGCTGACTCCACCTCCTTGCCGGAGCCGGCACTGAGACGCAATATGCCGTTGTCCCAGTTATCAAAGTCATCCGGCTCATTAAGCAGCGCCTCGTCATCATCCTGATCCTGATCCCGATCCCGATCACGATCCCGATCCACTAGTGGTGGCCTGGCCAGACGATAAGAGCTGCTTGCCTTGCGTCGCTCATTCACAAATGGTGACTTTGTTGTGCTTGTTGTTGTCGTTGTCGATGTTGTTGTTGTTGTTGTTGCAATTGCAATGCTTCGGCTGCTGTTGCTGCTGACAGCAGACACCTCGTAGGTGGAGTGACCCTGCGAATTGTGGATGTGTCCAGCCACCAGGCGCTGTATCATGCGCGGCCTGTGAATGACAATAAGAAGAAGCAGAAGAAGCACAATTAGCAGACCCAACAGCAGCAGCAGCAGCAGCAGTGCGGAAACAGCTGCAGTTCCAAACTGCTACATGCCACATGCCACATGCCACACGCGACTTTCATCAAAGGCGGCGCCCAAAATGGCCAGACGCCAAAATACCGTTAACAAGCACAACAACAACAAATCAAATACTAGTGAGAATCGCCTACGCGAGCCAGCTCGACTAGCAGATACCCTGTACAACCAGCTCAGACACACATTTATACTGGTTTTGTGGAAATGTATGTAGCAGGCAGGCGGAAGTATCTCCGACCCGATAAGGTATATATATTCTTGATTGGGATCAACAGCCGAGTCGATATAGCCAGATATATATATTTATATATATACATATATCAGAGACTATAAGAGCTAGAGACTTCAAATTTTGATTATAGCTTCTCCAATTCCCCCACAGATTTCTTTCTTATCGATAATTGCCTTCGTTTCTCAGATATCGATACATTTCGATCTCCGATAGCAATAAAAGCCACAATTTTGGAGGCAAATTCTTCCAATTAATACATAATATGCAGATTATTGATCAACTGCCCCAATTTCATCAGAGAAAGAAAGACTCACGTTTTGAGTGCGCCGGCGGCGTTTCGCACGAAGGGGGAGTTAACGACTGGATCTGAGGATGGCGACTGACGTCGACTGTTGCTGCTGCTGCTGCTGCTGCTGCTGGTATCGAATGCAGTCAGCGTTGGCGTGTCGCGTGGCTGGCGAGCAGCACGGTTGCTGCTACGGCCGCTGCCGCGTCTAATGCTGTCAGCAGATGTTGTTGGCGTCGCCGCCGTTGTTGTCGTTGTTGTGGCTTTGAGGCCACGGCGACGCTGCAGCTGCGTCGTTGCTGGCGGCAGTGGCGTTGTGCTGCTGCTTCTGCGACGTCCGTTGCCGTCATCGATGGGCAGCGTTGTTGGCGGACGCCGTTGGCGAGGAGCGCGCAACGTTGGCGTCTGCGTCGTCGTCGTCGTCATCGTTGACGATGCTGCCGCCGCTGCTGCTGCTGCTGCTGCTGCTCCTCTGCCACGCTGGCCAGCGGAACGAGCTACCGTCAACGTTCCCGTACCCGCTTCCGCTGCCGCTGCCGCCGCCGCCGCCAGCAGCGCTATCACGATCAAGTGCAAGGTTAACGATGTCATCTATGGAAAAACGAGGCATTTCAAAACAGGACAATTAAAGTAACAGTTATCGTGAACAGTTATGGTAAACAAATTGAAAATCCCCATTGCAAATGCCCAATTCTGTCTGAGCAAAGAACAAGCAATTGCGATCTAGTCAACTGATAGATCTGTTAATCTCAATTGCCTGAAAGACAGTGTATATTTTTGGTAGCTATGAAAAGTAAGAATGAGGCCTTCTTCAATTTTAACACCATTTTTAATGTGTGCTTAATTTCCGGAGAAAATTAATTTTTATCTCTCAATCGCTTAGGCGACATTAATTTTTGAATTTTTTCATCATCTTATAGGACTAAAAGTATACCATAAAATATTTAATAATTCATTATTATTGTAGATAAATGTAAATCCATTTTTTTATTTTTATTTTTGTTATGTTTTTATTAAAATTTCATTTAATATAAGTTCAAGCTTAAGTTTGAATTAAGGGATTATACCATCAATTTTCTACAAATATTCCTCATTTGTTAGAGCGAATTTACAGATATTTTAGATATGTATGTTCATATGAAGTTTAGAAAGATGAACTTAATTTTTTGCTTCAGATCTCAGTTCAGCCTGCAGAACTGGCTACTGGCTATAGTGATTCTGCAGAAGTAAGGAAAAGCTGAACTTAAAGAACAACTTTCACATCTAACGTTGAGTTACTTTAGCGTTTCCCAAACAGAACAGCCCCAACAAATCAGAAATCTTAGTAATTATAGTTGAATAATCGATAATATTCATGTATAATATTATATTCATTTATAAGAATTTGCTTTTAATGTAGTACTTGGATAAGAACAAGGACATTCATTCCGTCAATAGATGTCTCCCAATTCCTCAGTTCCATACACTCTCGTTTTTATTTGTAATAATTTGTAATTACAGATTTATGAATTGATTTGTTTTTTAATCATTTTTTATAGCATGCTTATGCTTAGCTGCTTACGATCATTAAAAGTATTTGTGCTGCTTTTCTGGCTCTTCGACAAACTGTGTTCGGGTTCAAGATTAACAATCTGCAGTTTACCCATTTCATTCCATTCCGTTTCGTTCCATTAAACCCATCCTCCCCTGTCCGCCTTCCCCGCACGCCACATCTTTAATTTCGATGCGCTGAAGTGCATCGAGCAATGAATTGGCCATCTGGTTTTTGGTTTTTTTGTGTTCATTGTTGTTGTTGTTGTTGTTGTTGCTGTTGTGTTTTGTTGTTGTTTTTGTTGCAAGATTTGAGCACGCGCCAAGCCTCAACAAAGCACTGTTGCTGTTGCTGCTGCTGTTGTAGTTGTTGTTGTGTCTGTTGCTTCGCTCATGTTAATTAGCTTCACTCAATTGATAAATGGCCAAGTGCGCTGCTTTTGTTGTTGCCGCTGCTGCTGCCGCTGCTGCTGCTGCTGCTGCTGCTGCTTCTCTTTATAAGCGCCTTTCAGCGCTCGATGATTTGTGGGCGCACATTTGAGTTGATCGCTTTGAATCTGCGATGCGGCATGCGGGATGCGGCAGCTCTGAAGTTTTATGATCGTAATCATCACAGCAATTTATATGCGTTTTCATTCGAGTCTTATTTTCGAATTAATCTGTGATTGATTTGTGTTTATTATTGTTATGCCATGATGATTTGCTTGGTTGGCTGCTCTGCTTGCAGCGTGTCTTGACAGCAATAATTCATAAACAAATCAAAGCAAAATCGTCGAAAAATGTTTGTATTATTTCAGCTTTCATCTAATATCTGCATCGATCAATTAGATAATTTTTACACATTTATTTAAATATTTATAATCACATTTACTAAAGGAAATGAAGGCGAATCAGGGATAGTAATTCGATCAAAATTGAATCAAATTTTTATGGCTGCAATATTTCCATTGCTTGTCTCTCTCAAGTACAACCGGGATAAATTTCCTTCAGGTTTGTTTACATCATTTCTAAATATTTATAAATTCTTGAATTAAAAATCAAAATATGAGTAAAAACGTACTTAATTTATCACAAAATAGTCTAACAATCAGTTTTTCGTAACTGTTCTTGACTTGATTAAAGCTTTTTAATACAAAAGTTTATGTTTTTTTTTTTTATTCCGAGTATCCAATTATTCATAAAATGTTTGTTTTTGTAGTTTTATAAATATGTATGTTATTCGTCACAGTTTAATTCAGTGCAATCCATTGAGAAGTGGCCCAAAAACGAAGCCAAGCAATTTCACTGCAATTGCAGTTGAAGTTGATTAACCGGCTCCAGTTAGCCAAGTTAACAATTCAATGTGAATTCCGAGCATTTCAAATGGCTATCTGCAGCAGCAGCGCAGAACAATCAAATTATAATGCTTAAGGCAAAAAAGCACAAAAGTAAAAAATAAAATTGTGAAAAAAATGTACGAAAAATAAAAAAAAAAAAAAAACGAATTGAGTCCAATTTAATCTATGACACCATCGCCCCAAACTGCTTTCAAATAAACTAATTAAATTGAAGTAAAGCAACAAAGTAACACAAAAATGAAAAATAACAGCAGCAGCACAAATAAGAAATAAGAAATAAGAAATAAGGCGCAGCCAAAAAGCGCTCTGCAAAAACCAGCGACTACAAAGAATTATTTATTGCCAATAGGCGACGCCACCGTCACCGTCACCGCCAACGTCGACGTCGACGTCAGCGTCGCAGTTACCTTTCATTCAAAATGCAAAGCGGTCGGCAAATCGCGTTAACTTTTTGGCTGGCAGCAGCACCAGCGCAAGGCTTGGCCCAGGAACGTGGAACATGGAACGCGAAACGTGGAACGTGTCTGCGGCTCTATGACGAATCTGACGCGACTGCGCAGCCACTACAAACACCGTTAGGCGGCAGAGCGCGCGTGCACGCGAATGGTTTTCATGTTTTGTGACACCCTGTAACGCCTAACACATCGGTTAGTTGCAAGTCATGCAAATGCATGTGACAAACCACTGAAAACTATACAGCTTTGTAGATTAGGCAAACATTTTATGTACATTCAAAACATTGCACAAGGATTAACCGTTAATTGCTTGGAGGGTATCTCTAAGTCGCGCACTTGCAACTCAAGCAGCTTTTGCTCGTTTTTCACTGCCTTGTTTTTTTTTTCGAACTGAGTATTTTATTTTATTTAATTTTTTTTTTGTTGTTGTTTTACTTTTGATTGCCAAACAACAATTTGGCTGCTGCTGCTGCTGTTGTTGTTGTTGTGGTTGTGGTTGTCGCTGGTTCTACGTATTAAATAAAATCGCTAAACAGGCACAAGCGGAGGCTGAAGCTGAGGCTGAGGCTGGAGCTGGAGCTGGAGCTGGAACTGGGGGCTGGCACATTCCGTTGCTGGCAATCCAGTTACGAATCACGTTCCATTTGATTGTTTCAGTTTTTCGGCTTTAGCCGTTTTTGGCTTTTATAGCATAATTTTTTTGTTTTTATTATTGTTGCTTTTGCTATCTGGCTGAACTTTGCATCGGTCGCTTTTGTTGTTGTTTATTATTATTATTGGGCTCGGCAACTGCGCCCACAGTGCGACGCCGACGCTGGCGCCTGCACTTGGAAACACTCCAAATCCAAATCCAAATCGAAAAAGCAAAAACAAAACGAACACGAAAAGCAACGTCAAGCTCCAAAATTCAACCTGTCGCTTGAAGTTGGCCAATTAGACACGTTCAGAGCGCGTATGAGTCAACAATCAACAACAAACTTTGCAACAACAACAAAAAAAAAAAAACAGTCAAATGTTATTTATGATTTTTGATTTCAATTTGTTGTCCTTGATTTGGGTTTCGCCTCCGTCTCGATGTGAAGGCGTTAATGATTTGGGCGGAAAGTGGAGGCCAAACCAAGAGAGTGATATTGGTGAGGGGCATGGATAGGGGCAGGGCTCTAGCGAGGCAGTGCTAATTGCAGCACTGGAAAACGTTCGAAAAACGTTTCTTAACTTTCGATAGTTGTCCAATAACAAAGCAAGAATCATATTTGATAACAAACTCTTTTAAAATTGTTTAAATTTAGCACAGATAGCACAGAGAGAATGTTAACCTTACCTTTGGGCAAAAAAATACAAAGATCACATTTCAGTGCAATGTAAAAGTTTCTTAAAAGTCGCCTCTCAACACTCTCTCACAACACTATATCAAAACACTAATATATAAAAATACACGTTTAAACGCACTGAAACTCCAATTAATACTGCGATCTATTCTTGCTTAAAGTTTTTATGAAATTCCATTTGAAATTTTGGAAAGCCAATGTACGCTCTGCTCTAATTAATGTAACCCGAACATTTGCAAGACAATTGAATTAAATTTGGGCGCTTTTCACATTATTAGCAGGAAGTCGTCAACATTAATGTGATGAACCCTGCCCCAAAAAGCTACTAATTTTAAATAAATAATGAATAAAATTTGTTATTATTAATATACACTTTTTATTGTGCGTACTATTTGGAGCATAATAAAAAAAATCAAATTAAATATCGGATGTGGTGTTCAATATAGAAAGCTTGCGCTGTCTGTCTGCAGTTACCAAAAGTTGTGTGAAATATGATTTAGTGCAAATATACAACTAGAGGAGCACTTGCCAATAAATATAGTATTATATTGAAAGTATCAGCAATAATTTCTCTTATTAGTTACTAGCATTGAAGTGTTTTAAAACGACAGCAAAATAATAAAGATCGTTAAGTTCCATTCGGAGATCCATTATAATTTGATTTGTTTACATTTATTTTGTTAGTTTCTTCCTAATAGGCTTAAGTTGAATAATACTCAATCTACGTTTGGTCTAATAACAATGTGCCCTTAGCTAGTTCAAAACTTGTATTTTGACAATCCCTGGGCCATATTGCCACATCGAAGCAATTTGATAGCATTCGCTTTTACACTTGATCGAGTTTAGCGTAACTTATGGGCCATAAACTAAATTTAAAGAGCTCCAACACAAAAAAACAACCGAAATGCAAATACAAAACAAAACAAACCAAACCAAAACAAAACGAAACGAAAATAAAATAAATATGAACAGCAAAGAAATGTTCGAGAAGGTATATCGAACCCGAAATACCCTACAATATGTTTGCTGTGCTATATTAACAATATTGAACACAATTAGCCTATTCTTTGGTAACTGTTGTAGTAGTTAAACTGTTCCGTTTGAGCATATTTTCTTTATATACCATTTTAATGTGTACTATGTTTTTCTGCTGAGATGCGTTACAAATTTAGCGATCGAATGCAATAACCACTGCGAGGGTATAATCAAAAGAAAAAGTAAGTCACTCGGCTATCGATATGCCAACATCAGCCACAACAAAAGCAGCAACATTGCCACAAGAGGCGTCGCTGTGGGGGTGACTATACGCTCTGCCCGCCAGCCCCTGATCCGACTCCCCATAGTTTCCTACAGCGATCCGCCAGAAACCCCAGAAATAGTCGCCACTCCTCCGTCTCTGTGTCCGCCTCCGTCGCCACCACCGCCCACACAACTGCAGTGTCCAACTGTTGAGGTTGAGACATGCGGCGCAGGTTTTGGCGGTCGTCGTTTGTCTTTTGTCGGTTGTCGGTTTGCATATTTGCCGCCAAAGAGTCAAACGAATTTTCTGTTGCTCTCATTGTTGTTGTTGCTGTTGTTGTTGTTGCTGTTGTTGCTGTTGTTGCTGTTGTTGCTGTTTTTGTTATTGTTATTGCGGCCGCTACTCGCAATGGTCTGGAATTTTAAATAAATGCGATTTAGTTGTGCAACATTTTTACTTTTTCTCCTCGTGGCCGAGACGGTGTTGGTGGTGGTGCTAGTGGTGCTGATGGTGGTTGTGCGGACGCCACTTGCACCGCACAGTTATGGTAAATAATTAAAGAAACGGAGCAATGGCAACAGCAACAACAACAACAACAAACGAAATTGTGCACAACGAAATATAAATACACTGAAAGAACCCTTCGATTTAACAACGCTTTATAAGATTTAACTATGAATCATGTGTGCATTAACTTTTCATATATTTTGAAGCTAAAACTTTCTAGTGAACAGCAAATGAACAATTTCGGAGAAGAGGTGAAAACCCACGACGAGTTATTCTAAATCGTGGAATGTTGTTGTTTAATAGCACCAGTTGAACAAAAGTTGTACAACATTAAACTGGAGTATTTTCACTAAGCCAGTACTTTGTAAGTTGAAAAACTCTTCTTTTTTTTATTTCTTAATAAAAAATTCAACGAATATAATAAGCTAACTGCATATACATAAACACATATACATATATATATATGTATATATATATATATATACATATACAATTTTTGTTTTTGAATTCTGTGTTCGATCGGTCCGACGTGAAAGCGAGAGTGTTGCCGGTGCCACAGTTGCTGTTGTTGTTGTTGCTGTAGCTGTTGCTGATGGTGTGTTTGCTGTTGGTGCTGTCCCAGTTACGCGCCAAGCATAACTTTAACCAACAACAAACACGAACGAGCCAAATATTCATTGATTTAATGCGCAAGTCTTTTTTTTTTTTTCTTTTTTTTTTTGTTTATAGGCTTTTGTTGTAGTTGCTGTTGCTGTTGGTGTTGTGGTTTTTCATTTTAGATCATTTCTTTGCTGCAGTAGTATGTTGTAACAGAGCCCAGTGATTAATCAATGGCATTATATAATGCAACAACAAGTCGAATGTGTGTTTGTGTGAGGCATGTAAGCAAAGCGTGCCAACGACCACAAATCGAAAATTATAGCAGAGAAGTTCTCGGAATCATTCCGAAATGATATCGTTTCAAATGGGCGAATGCAACAGTTGCAGCAATTTCATTGTGTCATTTTCATTTTTGCTGGATGCTGCTTGCAGCGCCAAATGGAATACAAATGCGTTGTATGCGTTATCTCATTGGATGCATAATCAATATTATGTATGCGCCGTGTGTTCCGCAGTGGAATCCACAATTACTAATGCTATGATGTGGGCCTCAAACCTATATCATTGGCTGCCAAACAGCAGCCAGTGGAGGAAGTTAGGCTGCTCAAAATATCCGCTGGCCAAAGTCGAAAACCAAACCCCAAAACCAATTGTCTGCAACGACAACAAAAACAACAACAACAGCAGCAAACACAAATTGCAAAGTGCGCGCAACGCGAGCAATAAAAAAATCGCTTGATTTGCATTTAAAGCCAACAGCAACATCAACAGCAGTAGCAGCAGCAACAGCAGCAGCAGCAGCAGTAGCAGCAGCAGCAGCAGCAGCAGCAGTAGCAGCAACAGCAGAAAGAGTAACAAACTATTGAGTTGGGCGTGGGAACATACAGATTCCAGCTAAAGATCGAGAGCATGGCCCAGCAACAGTAGGGCCACGCCCTATTCCATCCAGCAAAAATAAAAACAACCACAGACAACCAGCAAGCGACAACTCTATTATGCAAAGTGAGGCGATTTTGATGCGGTTGTTTGAGGGCGGTTGGCTTCCATCATGATTTGCCCCTAATGACCAAGTATTTAGGTGCCTAACGGCAGACACTTTGACTTCAAGCAGTTCAGCCAAAAAGGGCGACAGCAGCTGCTGCAGCATTAAGTGTAACAGCATTGTTTGCCCACCAATAAATCGCACACCCAAAACTCTAGAAAGGCCATTGAATTTGATTAAGGGCATTCGGTTGTGTTGAGGGTTAGAGTTGGAGTTGGAGTGGAGCTGAGGCTGAGACGGAGACTGAGACGGAGACTGAAGTTATTATTTTTATTGCAATTGGCAACTAGTTGTAGCCACTATGGTTATTTCCATGCTAATAAAAAAAAAAAAACTTCTTAGAAACTTCAAATGAAATCGCCTTCTTTATACAAACTCAGCTCAAGTCGTCTATAGATGAATTTGGTTTACAAAATGGCCAATTGCGCAGCTCCATCCACGGTCGCAATTTAATTGTCGACTCATTTTATTGACACCCCAATGTATATAAAATCAAAGGAATATTTCGATTTTAATTGGGTATTTTTGTTATTAAATATAGATTTGAAATTAATTTTCGTTGTTTGTATTTTTTTCATTTTTCTTTATTCCTACTTTAAAGCCACCCAACGACTTACCTTGGCTTTTATTCGGCTAAATGACTCAGCACTGACAAAGCTTACCGTCTAACTGGATCTGGCTCTGGCTGTGGCTCTTGTTCGGCTGTTTGGGTCTGGCCAATGGGTTGCATGTTGGACAGCCGGCTTGATTGACACCTTTTAACTACCGTGGCGCAATTGGAACCGACGACTTTTGCGACTCTTGCGCTAAATTATTCACTTTGGCAGCGACAAAATCAAAACCCAAAACCCAAAACCAAAAGCACAAGCCAAACCCCGTGACATATTTTTCAGCTTAACAAAACAAAACAAAAACAAAAACAAAAACAAAACAAAATAAAACATTACAAAAAACCTTTCGCAATTGCACAGCGGCACCATTAGACCCACAATTACTTCGTACAGTTATCGACACCATGACGATTTCAGGATGCCGAATTAGATCTCAATGACCAAGTCCCTTGTCCGTTGTGGGTGGCTGTAAAACAGTTTAAATTGAATCGAATTTTGCACTGATCGCATCTATAATTATAATGGACCCGCTCCCCATCCATCCAACTCCATTCCCACCACCCCCTTTGCTCTTTTAGCCATGCCCAGCAAATTGTCGAGCTTATGCAACAGCCCCCAAGATGAAATGGATGCTGATGCCGGCGCTGGTGCTGGTGCTGGTAATGCTGACACGCCCAGTAACCAGTACCAGTACCAACTACCACTACCACTACCACTACCACTACCAGTTCCAGTTCGTGGACAGTCTGGCCTGGCCGCCAGAGTCCCGCTGCGAGCGATTGAAATATTTGCACGTCGCATATTTAGTTAGCATAATTTGCTCTCTAATTGTCACTGACAGTTTAAGAATGCGACTGGTTCGGTGCGATTGTTGTTGTTGCTGTTCGTCATTGTCAACACTTTTCCATACTCTGTTCTGTCCCAGCCAGACAACGAGTATATCGCTCCTATTCCCCCAACAGCCAACAGTTTGATGTGAAACTCAGTAAATCTCTTTGAGAAACAGAGTATTGTGCAGTCGGCTACGCTCAATTGCAACATTCTTACTTGCTGTGTTGTGTTTTGTTTTTTTTTTATGTTCATATTAGATTGGCACATTGTGTTTATATTTATTTATGAGCTCGACGAGTTGCAGCAACAGCTCCAATTACACCCACCGCTCAGGAGAACGCCGCCCGGCGACCGAGCCCTGCAACTGGGGCACTAATTAACGGTTGCACTCAAATACCGTTTGTTGTCACATGTAAATCGATGAAATACTATACATTCAAAACGTGTACATAACGGCTAAACTAATGTACTAATAATGTAACCGTTTAGTTTGGACACATTGGGAGCGGCTAACTGTTTTGTAGGAATATGCGATCTACTTCCACAATCACTGGCAAACGACAGGTTTATAAAGTGCCTGCTATATAATGATATATATTATGATCTTTCCACATTGTACACATAAAAGCATATATGTTTTTCATTATTTAATTATTTTCTTAACATATCATTAGAATAATGACAGGTGCAATTAGGAAGCATTCTTGATTATAGGGCTAGATTAAACTGTATGTCAAAAGACATTATTTAATAGTCAAATTTTGATTATGGAGTACAATTAATGTTGTTCTATCGCTCAAATTAAGCAAATAACTTTTATTTCGCCTTGGTCACTTTACACATCGAAAGTCTAAGAATTTAATTTGGGTTTGGATGGCGTTAAATGGGTTTTACTTTTGATTTATGCAACTCACCTTTGGATCTTAAGATATCACAGAATGGTTGTTTTGCATTAAGAAACGGCGACAGTTGTTCTTGTTCTTATTGTTGTTCTTGTTGTTGTTGGTGTTGGTGTTGCTGTCGTTCTTCTTCTTGCCATATGTGTTGGCTGTCGTTGCTACAACAGCTACAACAATTTGCTTGCCACTTTTTCGTCTGTTTCCAGTTTTTTTGTTTTTTTTTTTTCTTTGTGATTCTTTTTGTTCGTTCTACTTGCTTCTGACTACGCCTACTTTCCGGACCGGTAATATTGAAAATGTTGGCGTTTTAACAACTTTTTGCGTTTTTTGTTAGTATTTCGTTTCCCTTGGCAAATTAGTTGAGTTAAAGCCAAGTTTTTTTTACTAGAATCGTTATTCTTGGCCAACACTCGCATCGAGTTAATTGTTTATGTTGTGTTTCTTGTTGCTGTTGTTGTTTTACATGTTGCAAAGACAGCGACAACAACATGACGCAGCCCTGCGTCAATTGGAACACTGCAACAATAAAAAAAATATATATTAAATGATGTATATATAAACTTTGACATCCTATTTAAACATTGTTGTTCCCAATGTTTTCTATTTAAATAAATATGTTATACGTATTTAATTTAATTTAATTTAATTTAATTTAATTTAAGACAAACAATGTTTTGTTTAGAATATTACCAAATTATTTTTTACTCTACGAAAGATGATTTTTATATTTTTATTTCTTTTTTTCATCTGTTAGATTGACAAAATTTCATTTTTGAAATGAATTGATATTTCTCAAGGCACACAAATCAAAATCGCTAGCCGGAAAACCACAATTGCAATTACGAATAGAACAGAGAAACCCAATGAACCGTCGCGAAGGTTTTTATGGCCAGCTTAAGAGCGGTGCCTAGTCTAGGCTACTACTTGATTGCCATTGAAATGGAACGCAGAGACAATAAATAAGCAACACACAATTATATTGGCTGGAAAATGTTATAATGGAATTGCTTAAAATGCGAAATTAGTATTTTAATTAGCGTTTAATTAAGAGATTTATAAACGGTAGCAATACTGGTCTCGTCTGGTCTCAGTCAAGAGTAGTTATCAAGGCTATATTTGGTCTAGATCTGGCACTGGCCAGCTACTTCAAATGGTTCTCATCGTCATCGGCATCGCCATCGCCATCGCCATCGTCATCGTCATCGTTATCGTCATGCAACTGCAGGCGAAAGGCGGAAATTGTTCGATTCAATGAGCGCACGCTTCAGGAATTAAGCAAAAATTGCCAAGTCGGTAATCGAAGGAAAACAAAAAACAAACAAACAAAAAACCAAAAAAAAAAGCAAGTGGAACGCAAAATCTTTTTTGAGTCGAGTGGAAAACTATTTTCGTCACATTTCGCTTGGCCAATCGAAGCCACTGAGAGAATGTCACAATGCATTTGGATATGTTCAGCACCTTGATGATTTCTCGATTTAAGCCCAGACGATTGGTCAACGCTTGCCGCCCGACGTTAATTGCTTGCAACACAGCACACCGCACAGCAACAACAAAACATATTTCTAGCTGTTTGTTCAACTGTGCGTGCTCAGTACATCAAAATTACATTAGTTGCCGTCGGACGTTAAGTGAACTATATACATATACTTACACACATACACATACATACACACACACTTGCATGTGCTAAGTCTGCTACTAGCCAACTACACTTATAGCCCAACTGACCCATATTTGTGTCAGCTCGTATCGAGTTTCCGTGTCGATGTGTTAATTAGTCGACGCTTCTCTTTGCTTTGCCCTCTGCTAACTGTTTTCTTAATGATCGCAGCTGGGTCTGTGCAAACTAAATGCGAATGCTCTCACACATATAAAGGCTTTCCGCGCAAGATCTTATCCACAGCCCCTGTTTATAGTATATAGTATATAGTATGACAGCACAGTCTAATTTAGGATCCAAAAAATAACTATAACAATAAGCGCTGTTTAGATATCAAAAAAGAAACTCTCAAAAATATAATGATGAAGGACAGGAATAGATGAAAGCTATATTAACAATTGATATTACAAAGTCAAAGACTTTGCCTGATCGATTACAACTGTCAACATAAACAAACAATTCGAATTCCCGATAAATGGCATGTGTTGTTTGCTACCCTTGAAATGTTGCTGAATACAACACAAAAACCTTGAGGCTGACGAATGTGGATCAGAAATGTGGATCGAGCTTGAGCCGTCGACAAATTTGATGTCGATTCATGTCCGATACGTTAAACGAATCCAAATCCAAATTCGAATGCCTTCCGCCGGCCAAGTGCCACACATCTGCCAGCAGCAGCAGCAGCAGCAGCAGCGACAACAACAACAACAAGTACAGCAGCAACAGCAACAAGTACAACTCTATTATGCATGAATCGCCGGTTCGATCAAAGCGGCAAACACATCAACTAAACGATGGCAGAGGTAGCCCAAAATTGTCGGTGATTAAACAATGCTCGTAAAGAGAAATAAAAAAGCGAAAAAAAAAAAAACAATTATTGCTGGCCAAAGATATTGGTGAGGGGGCAGTGTGGAGGGGTGTGCTGGTAATGGTGGCATAGCCGAGTAGATGGGTAGCCGGGTAGCCGGGGAGCCGGCGTCATGCTGGCGGACGGTACATGAAGTCAACAAATGTTTTGGCGAGATGCTCAGCTCGCCACTCTGAATGAATGAATTGAATAAACGTCGAGTGCAAATGAATCGAATGCGGCTGCACTGTGAATCAAGCCTCAAGCGTGAGATTGTGCGAACGGAACTCGTAAATCAATGTGAGATTGTTGCTGCTGTTGTTGTTGTTGTTGCTGGTGCTGGTGCTGCTGGTGTTTATTGAAGACTGTCGTCAGCATCTGCCACTGGATCTGACTCTAGCTGTGATCATCATCACCATCATTAGGCGTCAAAAGCGTTTGACTCTTTGATTAATCGATTCGTGAATTGCAAGCTGTGCAGCGCAGTGGCGTTAAAGGAGTTAACACTCTGGGTGCCTGCAAGTTGGGAGCACTTGGGACATTAATTGGGCGCAAGCAGTAAATTCGACTGCCGTTTAATTGAGGAACGGTCAGTCAGATCGTGCCACACGCATCTGGTCAACAGTTGCGACACGCAACAACAGCAACAACAACACCAACAACAGCAACCACACCAACAACAGCAACAACATAGGGAAATTGCAAAATCATTTGGCCAGCTCTCTGCACAGTTCGATATCCGGTTGAGTTCGAATTGTTGTTCAACAACTTATTAAATCATTTTTGTGCATATTTCGTTGCACTTTTTCGTGGCTTGCATACACCATGCTAAGGCTAAAACAAAACAGCGCAAAAAACAAAAAGAAAAAAATAAAAAAAAATTAAATAATAATAAGAAATCAACTCACACTTGTATTACAAAATAAATATATAATGACATTGTATTGGCCCCACTAAGAAACTGTGAATGCAACGGAAATGGTAACTCAAGAACTGAAAATACACATTTGACCAGCTGGCAACTGGGTATATCTGGGTATATCATAATATCAGCATATCCCTACCAAAGAAATACCCAACATTTGAACTGGTTTTCCAATTGCTGATTTGCCTTGGAAACTCATCCTGAATAAATAGCCATAGCCTTATGGTGAATATATATATATCTATACTATATAGCTAATATAAAAACAATTAGTTGAACATTATTATTAATTATACGAGTGTTAATATGCATTATATATTAATTAAGCTACCTTGGGAATTTAATTTAAAAAATGTACATAAATCCAGCACCTCAATAATATGTGTGTATTCAATTTCAATTACCAACTGCACTCGTGTCCTTATTATCGAAGGCCACCTTCACTCTCATGTGCACAAGCATAGCTTTGAGGGTGAAAACGCACTCGTCCGGAGCATTATGTACATTTAAGCTTACATATATATATATATATATATATGTATATATATGCATGAATATAAATGAATGCCCTTCAATGAGCCAAACCTGAATATATACATACATATATCAAATGTATTGGAAAACTATATTCAAATGCTTATTAGCTAGAAAATTGTCGAGTAGTTGTTCAAATCTAAAATCGTATTTATGTATGTATGTATGTATGTATGTATGCATGTACATTTGTATTTGTCTCGCAATTAGTATTTGACCCCAAGCAACAACTGTTTGCATGCTGGCAGCATTTCTCATAAATTTTCACCTGCGGCTTTTTTTTTTGCGTTTTCCCATGCACTTTTACACTTGTGGCACTTGTGGCACATGTGAAAACGGCCACGTCCACCTGAGCCCATTGTTTTCACGTACGTAAACAAACATATTTTGAAAAAAGTTTTCTTTCTGTTTTCATTCATTTGCATCAATTGAGGTCTTTATTTTTGTATGAAAGTGTCAAAGCACTTGCAGAAATGTGCAACAAGCAATCTGCAACAAGCACTCAAATGCTTGATTGCAAACAGCTATAGTGTGTGTGTGTGTGTGTGTGTGTGTGCATATATATATATATATTTGTGCATATATGCAGAGATTGAGCTCCAGCTGAGATATACGCATTCATTGTCTACTTGTTGAACATTCTCTGACCGCAATCGGAGCGCTTCTATCCTTGGCTTAACATTTAATTGGACTTGTGCCTATGTTTAGATATTTTGATAACTTATGCACTGCCCTGCGCTCATTCAATGCAACTCTCAGTTTCCCTCTTGCACTCTCTCTTGGCCTTTAATAATTGAAGTGCTCTCGTGCCAATTGGCCTTGATGTGTGGGGATGCAACAGGAATTGGCTGTATCTGGGACTTGTTAGCTTAACTTCCGTGATAGGTAATCTAGTTGTTGTGATTTGTTCAAACCGTTCACAGACCTAATTAAATTGACGCTTTAATTAAAGTGCCCAACACATACATATCTGCAAAACCAAACGAAAATTGCACAACAATTTCAATATGAAATAAATACAATTTGCAGCCAATTTGTACTTATTTATCACAATCAAACGTTTTAGAATAGTAGAAAAATTTAAAATGAATCCAGCTCTGTGAACAATACAAGTGAAAACACAAGAGAAATTGTTCAAATAAATATAAAACTAAATCGTGAACTTTGCCGATATTCTTCACTTTTTTTGAAAATGGATTTCGTTTTTTTGGAGTCACGGGATGGATTGCAGGTGGACATCGAATTTGATTTACTATTAAGGCACTCAAGGGTTATTCAACACATGCATAAATGCACCGACTCCGACGACAAAGACCCAATTATTCCCGTGCACGGCGTCAATTACGAGACACTGCTCAACATCAGGCGTTGGATGCGTTTCCACAAGTTCGACGATGTGCCCGATTGGGTTCATTTTGAAGCCGGATATACGCCGGACGACCTCGAGCTCTGGACTGACGAATTTGACAATGATTTTCTAAACATAAGCCTCTCGAAGGTGGTGGAAATAATGAAAGGTGCCGACTTTTTAGATATACCCTGGCTAACAA